GTCCATAGAATACGCCACATACGCAAAGAAAAGTGACGAGCTGAGACCTCACTTGCAAGATAATAATTAAAATACACTAAAACATTGTTTTTATGTGTGCATGTGATCATGAAACCATATTGTATTCACTAAGCTTTTAGCTTATACTATACATGTATATATCTCAGGTATCAATTGTCAGTAGACGAGTTGAATGAAGAAAGACGAAACTATGTTTTGAATCATGCTTGACTAGATATTTAATTAGCATTAATTACGTTAAAGTATTTTACGCTTCCGCAATTATGTAACAATTTATGTTAAACATATTATGTGTGTCTGAAATTTTAAGTTCGTATTTTTGTTCAAGACATATGTTATTAAGAATGACGTCACGGCACTCGAAAGAAAGAAAAAAAAATCGGGGCGTGGCACCTCTACAAATTATGGAGATGCCAGATGTCAGCCCAAGGAGAAATCCTAATGGAATATCTTGGAAAGGAGCGATGTGGTTAGGTCTATAGTTACCTTTCAGTATATGACCCAATATCTTTTTGTTTGCTTGACAATTACTAAGATGCATTTGGGTCTTTGTACAAGTGTGTACGTCCTCCAACTTTCGTACATGAAACATCTTGCATTTCTATAGGGAGGTCGCCATGACACCAACCACAATTCTCTCGCACACATACAACATCGTATCTGGTTTTTAAAGGTCTGTTGACTTTAAACTCAAAACTCTCTTCAAGAAACTTCATTCTAAGCTATATTAACAGTTATTCTTCGGTTATAAATAAGTGATCCAAACTTATTTTTCCACTATGTTGATAAGATATGGGTTGGTTAAGAGTGATACAGGGCTCTAGGGTTGGAAGGAGATGATACATATCAAAAATTCATTATCCCACCAAATGATGTAGCATAACAAGAAATCAATATCAGATAGACCCAACATGAAAAATGAGACTCGTCATCATCAACTTCAACAACTTCTTCTTCTTCTTCTTCTTCTTCTTCTTCTTCTTCTTCTTCTTCTTCTTCTTCTTCTTCTTCTTCTTCTTCTTCTTCTTCTTCTTCTTCTTCTTC